GGATGTCTGTCACTCTTACAATAGTAGAACTAAATGTTCTTCTTAAAGACTTATTATTTTGGGGTTTTGTTTTGTTTTGTCTTTTTGAGATAGGGTCTCTCTACATAGTCCTGGCTGTCCTGGAACTCACTCTGCAGACCAGACTGACCTCAAACTCACAGAGATCCACCTGCCTCTGCCTCCAGAGTTCTGGAATTAAAGGCGTGTGCCACCATACCTGGCAAGCCTTATTTATTTTTTATGTATTTGTACGAGTGTCTTTCCTACATGGTTGTTTGTGCATCATGCATGTACAGTGCCATCAGAGGCCGGAAGAGGGCATCAGATGCCCTGGAACTGGAATGACAGAAAGTTGTTAGGGGCTATGTGGGTGCTGGGAATCACACACATACTGTGACATGCCCCCAAGCACATCATGCGCACACATATAAAGTTATAATAAATTAAAAAATTTAAAACCCTCACAAAACAGTGCTCAGAGAAAAGATTGAAAATAACAAAATGAAATTTAAATAATGTCACATAAATAAAAATATGTTCATATAAAACAAAATCACATTTTTAAGAAAATATACAAACAAAAAACATTAAACAAAATTTAGTTCTCTATGTGGAAAAGGAGGGAAATTTTCAGTGTTATTGTCAGAGACCAAAGATGATAAAATATCATGTACAAAATCAAACCAATCAATCAACAAAAGAGCACAAAACCTAGAGGCAATTCAATAAACACTGCACAACTGTCTCTGGATTGGGGAAATTGAGAACTTTGGGTTTTTTCCCTTCATACACCCATAACTTCAAAGTTTTTGTGCTAAACATCTATGTTTTTGAAAATAATTATTTTGAAGAATATAGTCAGATATATATTAAACCATCTGGAGAATGTTGGTATCTGGAAGAAAAGCCCTGTCCTGTCAGAAGCAGCTGTGACAAGCTCAGGCAAGAACAGGGTGGAGAAACTGCTAGACAGGGCCCAGATCACCATCTCAGAGTCCCTGGGGTGTAAGATCCAAGCTCCATGGCAGATGGAGGGCAGGAGCGCCATGTGCCTCCCAGAGGGAAGTGGACAGAGAAAGGCCGCCAGCCCTGAGGGGCCTCCTTGAACTGCAGGGTCATGCCTGAGGCAGCAGAAAATGTGCTGGTGGCAGTGAGAGAAGTACAAAGGTTACTGAAAACTGGGTCCTAAGAGACGGAAATCTGACTCAAAGCAGCTAAGCCACAGAGGCAGAGGCAGGTGGATCTCTCTGAGTTCCAGGCCAGTTTGATCTCCATTTTGAATTCCAGGCCAGTCAAGGCTGTGTAGTGAGATCCTGTCTATAAATAAATAAATAAATAAAAGGCAGATAGGAAGTGTAAAGAGGTGGCTGCTAAGTTGATGATTGAAGGAAGCTTGGAACCTACAAGAGGAACCAGCTGAGCAGGTGAGTCCTCTGCATAGAGATAGATAAGTTGGCTGGCCTGAACCGGAAGGGCTTGAGGGCAAAGATGAGGAAGAGATCAAGATTCTTGCTGATAAACTCAGAGAGAGGCAGATGTGTGTTAGTTTGCTGAGAGGTTAGATAAACTGAAAAAGATAAGGTGTCTTGGAAGGCAAGCTGAGCTGCACAGATGAGGAACACCTTTGTACACAAAGGATGCTGGATCCATGCTCCACTAGGCTCCTGCCTGCCACTCCCCCTGACTCCAACTCTCCCTGACTCCTGCCAGAAGCTGACCTGGAAACAGAGGGCTGATCTTTGGAAGGCTGCTTTCTCGATTCCTCCATCTTTCTCTCCTACTGGCTTCTGCCTTTTCCCAGAGATCCCAGCTGGGCTAGAGGCTGAGTACTTTTGGGGGGCCTTCAGGGAGTGCAATCACAATACTAGATGTCTTTAAAAAGCACGGTATGGGGCTGGAGAGATGGTTCAGCAGCTATGAGTACTGACTGCTTTTCCAGAGGACTGCTGTTCAATTCCCAGCATCCACATGGCAGCTCATAACTATCTGTAACTCTGGTCCCAGGAGATCTGATGTCTTCTTCTGGCCTCCACCGGCACCAGTCACACAAGTGACAGACAAGCATACATGCAGGTAAAACACCTATATACATAACATTTTACAATTTAATTTAAAAAAAGCTTTCTGTGATATACAGTTTGTAATTATAATTGTTAATTTTGTTGTTGTAGCAATTTTAAAGTTTTATTTTATAGCTTATTTTACAGCTGAGAGGCAGCCATCTAATGTCTTTCTTCCTTTTGGAAGATGTCTTTTCAGCCTAATGCATACTGTCTTCTCCGTAGAGGAGGAAAACAAGTGTGGGCCTGCCTTACTGACAGCCAACTAGAAACCAGGCAGAGACTCCATCTCGGGAACCTTCACTACTCTGTACAAGGCCCCCATCAAACAGGAACAGGAATTCTAGGAAGAGTTAGCCCTGAACAAAAACATACTGCACTGTTAAGGTTTCTAGCTTTAGGCATCTTTGAATAACTTTTTTTTTTTTTTTTACTTTTTTTCATTAGAAGTAACCAAATTAAGACAGTAAGACTTCTGAGACCCACCCATTAGTTCTCCCAGTACTAGGGTATTGTGCATGTTAGGCAAACACTCGGTCACTCATCCACAGCCATGTTTGTTTCATGTCTCTCCCCTTTCTCACGGCTCACAAAAAAGTATCACGTGCTCCTTGACGCTGAGAGGACCATCCAGTGCTCTCCTGAATCCTTCAGTGGAAGAAAAAAAAGCTGTGTTTGTGCCACAAAATTAGCTGCATGAAGCTCACCTCGTCGCCCATTTCTGGGTCCAGGCTTCTGTCTCTAAAGTGTCATCTCAATGTGCTTTGTATCGGGCAGTGTCAGAGAGATCTGGAATAGCTCATGTATGATATTTTAAAACTTATGTTACTTTGAAACCTTGCCTCTTGTGGATTGGTGTGCCATGGCCGCTCTACCTGGCTATGAAAACTGGGTCCTAAGAGACGGAAATCTGACTCAAAGCAGCTAAGCCACAGAGGCAGAGGCAGGTGGATCTCTCTGAGTTCCAGGCCAGTTTGATCTCCATTTTGAATTCCAGGCCAGTCAAGGCTGTGTAGTGAAATCCTGTCTATAAATAAATAAATAAATAAATAAATAAATAAATAAATAAATAAATAAATAAAAGGCAGTGTACTAACCTAGACAAGGTTCTTTCCACACCCAACTGCCACTGAAAAAATTGCTTTACTTTTGAATTCTTGCATGTGTATACACTGCATGTGTGTGGAAGTCAGAGGACTTAAGATGCTTCTCTCCTTCTACCACATGAAACTCAGAGATGGAACTCAGATGGCCAGCTCCTTTACCCATTAAGCCATCTTACTGGCCTCTACTCTAAAATATTCTAAGAATCCAAAGTCCACCATTAGGACCTGGGCAGCTTTTGCATGCTTGTAATTCTAGCACTCAAAGGCTGAAATAGGAGGAAGTTCAAAGCTAGCCTATGCGTCATAGTAAGTTCTCTGCCGGTCAGTGCAACATGGTTAGACCATGGGACCCTGTCTCAAATGGGGGTTTCGATGCTTATGTATATATGTATAAAATTGCCAAGTAATAAATAAAATATATTCTTTAAAAAAAATCAAAAGTTCAGTTTTTCTAAAAACCAAAACCAGAACTGACTAGGGCCCAGCCTCCAAGGAGGAAGAAAGAACTTCCTGCCACTTTCACTGATCTCATGACTCCACTTCCTGTTGTCCAGGCTCTTTGTTCTTTAACTCCAAAGTCTGTTCTCTGTTTTTCTGCATTCTTCAATACCTGGCTTAAAAGTTACCCTCTTTATGAAGCAGTCTCTGAAACCAACAGGCATAGACAGTGGGTTGGTTGTTTTGTTTTGGTGATTGGTTGGTTGGTTTTTGGTTGTTGTTGTTGTTTTTGAGACAGGGTTTTAGTCTAGGTTGGCCTTGAGCTCTCTGTGTAGTTGAGGATGAACCCAAACTCCTGATCCTCCTGCCTCTACCTCCCAAGTGCTGAGAGTTCATTCTCTCCAGCAGACATTTAGCAAACACCTTGATTCCTGTTTGTAAACCTATGTTATAGTTATTGGCTCCTTAAATGTTGGATTTTTAAAAAATCCACCCAAAAGGACATTTCTTCCATGTAACAGGTTGCCCACAGTCTGTATCAGCAGTCATAGATATTCACTCAAATAGCCTGGCACAGTAGAAGGATAAGCTTTGCAACCAGATGAGCTTGAGTTCAGTGGCTGGCCCGCCCCTCACTGACTGACCCTGAACAAGTGTCTGCGTCTGTAGAATGAAGATAGCAATGACCTCCACAATGACCACTGCGAGACTGAATGGGCGCATTGTAGGCATGCTGCAAATTCGTGGGAAAATGCTTTCTAATCTATAAAGAACTACAAGAATGCAAGAGATAGTGATGCTGTGAGCAGGTGGAACAGAACAGATAGAAATAAGACCAGCAAACTTGCTAACAAGTAACAGTCGTTTAAAAATTAGGGCACGAACACAGCAGGCCAACAAAGTGACTTTCATGAAGTATTTTTCCAGGCACTCAGGAGATGTTCTGATTTTTGTTTTTAGGTGCTCAGTACATTAACAAGAGGAAAACATTGGGCAGAACCGTCAGCACTGCTCAGTAAATACTAAGAAATACATATATTTAAACAAAGAAAATCCCCAGGAGAATAGGGCTCAACTGAAAATGAGAATCAGGTTTATACAGAAGCTTATTTACCAACAATTAATTTCGTAAACACCATGATAACGATAGTAGTTTTAACTTCTCCATTTTTTTTTTACAGTATATTTACATTGGGTGCTTTATACACATTACCTCATCCAATCACTATACCCACATCTTGAAATAGAAATTACCATTCATTCATTCCCTTTCTACCAATAAGCCAATAGAGCACGGGAGGGGGAGTGGAAATATAAACCCAAAGTTTATCTAAAAAGAGCGAGTCATTTTACTTCCCGCAGTTTGCTAACCTCCGGAGCATTTCCCCTGCTAAGCGCCGTCTCTCGCTTCTGTGGGCAATTCCTCTCTCCGCAGTTACAGTTCATCCTTCTGATCAAAGCGGACTTCCCTTTTCCCCAGAGATGCCCTCTTGGCGCTGTCTTCCTGCTTGGGCCCTGCATCTGGTTCCTCCTCGGAGTCCTCTTCATTGTCCTCCTCATCCTCCTCATCAAGTCCCCAGATGTCCTCTTTCCTGGCCCGCTCCTTTTCCCTCTTCTTTTTGGCCTCTTCTGCCTCCTTCTTCTTCTCCATTTCCTCATACAGCTCTCTCCACTGCTGCTCTACATCCTGTTTAAAGTGTGGAATTCCAAAGTTGCACAGATGAGACAAACAGACACATTTTAGAAACATCTGTAGTCTTCCCGTCGGGCGTTAGGAGTCCTAGGATGGTGTTCATTTACATGTAAGTTTCAGTACTTCTGGGGTGGAGAGAAATCTGTGTCTGGGTGTATGGTGTACAGTTCGTTTGTAAATAAAGCAGATTCAAAGCTAGGCATAGTGCTGTGTACCTGTAATCCTAGCACCCGGGAGGTGGAAGCAGGATCAGGAGCTCAAGGTCGTCCTCTGATAGACATTTAAGGTTGGCCTGAGCTACCTAAGACGATCTCAAAATAAAAAAAGTAAAATGAAGCCCGGCGAAGGTGGTGCACGCCTTTAATCTCAGCACCCGGGAGACAGAGCCAGGTGAGTCTCTGAGTTCGAGGCCAGGACTACCAAGTGAGTTCCAGGACAGGCTCCAAAGCTACACAGAGAAACCCTGTCTTGAAAAAACAAAACAAAATAAAACAAACAAAAAAAACGTAAAACGAAATAAAATAAAGTGGGCTGGAAAGAGGCCTGAGCAAGAGAAGGTTCTGGCCCAAGCCTGAGCACCTGTTTGATCCCTGGGACTCATCTAGGAGAAGGCATTGTCCTCTGACTTCCACACACATACCGTGGCATGTGCATGCACTTACACACGAAATAAATGTAATAAAACAACTTTTAAATAAAATCATTTCAAAAATTAAAAAAAAAAATACTAAAATAAAATAAATCCAGATTCGTCATATATTCACTTGATGCTTATGCCATCGCCCCGCACAGGCTAAACGACATCTGTGAGTCATTTGCATTCCTCACAGTGATAAGTAATGTTGCTCATCCTCACTTTCTGCATGAGGGAATCTGATGTTTGGATTTCTTTCTTATTTATTCATCTGCTTATTTTGTCCTTGAGACAGAGTGTTCCTATATAGTCCAGAATGACCTTGAATGCTTTCTTTTTTCTTTTTAAAAATTTTTTTTGAGACAGGGTTTCTCTATGTGGCCCTAGCTGTCCTGAAACTCACTATGTAGATCAGGCTGGGCTCGAACTCACAGAGATCCACTGCCTCCGGAGTGCTGGAGTCTAAGGTGTGTACCACCATGCCCAACTCTGGAACTCTTTCTTAATCCTCCCACCTCTGCCTCCCTCCCTGTACTTCTGCAGTGTTTGGTATGCCATCACAACCAGCTCATGTGGACTTTCTATGTTTTGTTCTCTCCAAACTGAATACAAGCCCCATAAGATAGAAATGTCTCAATTTTATTTCATGGCTATATCCCTAACGACTGCCGTGGTGAACAGGCTCTTACCAAGTATTTGTCAAGTGAATGCATGGTTTAATAGATTTACACAGGCTAGATATTGAACACATGCTAGATGTTAGGAACTTAGAAGACAGTTGCTATTGTTTTTCCTAATTGATAGATGAGGAAAGTTAAATACATCGACCAAGTTCATATAACTATAGTCAAGGATGGAGCCTGGATTTGAACCTAAGCAGTCTACCTAGAAAGCTCATGCTCTTTACTAATATATAATAATGACACAACATCGGTATTAGAAGACTGGGGAGTAGTTCAGTAATGGAGTGACTCTAGTATGAGCAAAGCTCTAGGTGAGATCTCTCGTATCACAAGATAAAGATAACATTGAATTAAAACAAGACAAAACTAAATTAAAGAGTATTTTTAAAGCTGAGCACAGGGTCAGCAAGTTAGCCCAGTGGGTAAAGGCAAATGCTGCCAAGCCTCACAGCTTCAGTTAGATCCGTTGGGAGTTGAGCCTGGTGCCAGAGACCTGTAATCTCAACTCCTTGGTAGGCCGAAGACAAAAAACACATGTTCAAGGCCAGCCATGGCTACAGTGTGAGTTTAGGGCCTGAGTAACTTTGTGAGACTCTGTCTTAAAATAAGAAGTAAGACAAGTTCCAGTAATACAGCTCGGTGGTGGAACAATGGCCTAGCACAACTGTCCCTAGAAACACGTACGGCCTTTATGTGGCCTCTGGGAATCTGAACTCTGATCCTCATGCTTACACTGCAAATGCTTTATCAACGGAGCCATCGCTTCAGCTCAGGGCAGGGGCAGGCAGGCTGTTGTTTTTGCTTTTACCTTCTGTGTCTGTGCTTTGCTGATACCTAGGTTTCCTGCTGAATTATTAAGCCCTGGCTATAAACCTACTTGGATTGACCTTCCTGCAGGGCCAGGACATCTGGATGCAGGACATCTTCCTTAGGAAGCCATTGTCCCGAATCTCACTCCACACATTAGATAGTTTTGAGAAGGGAGGAGCTGGTAAACAGCACTACCATGTCCTCTGGTTTTCAAATCATCTGAGGTAGGCTGAGTGGCTCCCTCTAATGGCACACTGAAAAGGCATTGTGGCACACAAAAGGAGCATGGGTTCTGGGTTCAGGCGCCAACTCAACAAGTCAAAGGTTGTGTGTGACCTTGGGCAGTTTAGCCTCTGGAACTCAGTTTCCATTCCTAAGAAATGGAATAATATCTATATTGCAAAGTTGCCTTAAGGGCCAAGTAAGATACATTTTGAAAAGTGCTCAGAGTGACAAGTCGAAGATGTCCAATGAATGTGAGTTCTCTGTCTCTCAAGGCCATGTGAGCAGATAATTGGGATAATGATTGTTAGTCCTGATTTTGCAAATGGCAGAATCAGACATCTGGAATTCAGGGTAGAAAAACAACTCACCTTTCTTAATCCCCAGGTCATATTTCCAACCTCTTCAGCAAACTCTTCATCATTTGTTAGAAGGAAATTGTCAAAGATGCTGCCTGATTTCACCTGTTGAAATGAAAACCGTGAGATTATTACAACTGGGTTCCTAGAGACCTAGAGACATGGCTCAGAAACATGAGGACCTGAGTTTGGATCCCTATCATGGTGGAAAATATGTATGGCTGTGAGGGTACCTTACAACCCCAGTGCTGTCTGGGGCAGAGACAGGAGGATCACTAGGCTTACTGGCTGCCAGCCTAGCTGCAGGTTCAGTGAGAGACCCTGTCTCGAGAATAAGATAGAACAGGACACCTGATGTTCTCCTCTGGCCATGCACATACACACATGCATATAAACTCTCTCTCTCTCTCTCTCTCTCTCTCTCTCTCTCTCTCTCTCTCTCTCTCTCTGTCTCTCACCAAAAGGCTTTTGCCATATTTATTTGTTTTTTATGTGTGTGCCTATTTCATTTTAGGTTCACCACATGAATAATGAAGGAACCCTCAGAGGCTGGAATAGTGTATCGAATCCCCTGGAATTAAAGTTACTGACTGTTGTGAACCACCATATGGGTGTTGTTAACAAAACCAGGGTCCTCTGCAAGAGCAGTAAATGCTCATAACCATTGAGCAATCTTTCCAGGCCCTTTCTCTATTTTCTTAAAATAGTATGCTAAGAAGCCATGTGGAGTGGTGCATGCCTGTAATCCCAGCACATGGGAAGTGGAGGCATGGGGATCAGGGCTTCATGTACCTTCACACTTTTTATGTAATAATACATGAAACCCTATCATAAAATCAAAAGAAGACAAAAGTTTAGTATTTGTGAGTAAAAGATTAAACCCATGCTTTATAACAGTTACAGTGTTTAGTTCATGACAAAGGAATAAGATAGAAAGGAGCACAAGACATGGGGTTGAACAGACCAGCTCAGCTGCATTCCAGTTTTATGACATTAGGCAAGTTACTCAATCCCGCTGAGTTATTCTCTCACAGGTAAATCAAGGAAGCCAGGTATGATGGTCCATGCCTGTAATCCCAGGATTAGGGAGATAAAGCAGAATAATCAAGAGTTCAGGGTCATCTTCAACTACATAGTGAGTGTGAGATCAACCAGGACTACCTGAGACCCTGTTGATGAGGAGGATGAGAAAGATGATGATGATTATAAGTGTGGTATATGTTCTTTTGATCCCAACACTTAGAAGGCAGAGGCAGGTGACAGGCAGATCTGTGTCATGTCGAGGCTAGCTTGGTCTAGATAGTGAGTTCCAGGCTAGCCAGTGTGTGACATTGTAAAACCATCATCATCATCATCGTCATCATCATCACCATCATCATCATAGTAATGTGAATCATGGAAAATAATAACTCTCTGATAGTAGTGTTATGAAAATTAGAACTAATGTATCTAAAGCACAGTGCCACGCAAATGTCACTCAACAGATAAGAATGATTTTTATAGCTTTTCAGTATCTAGATATATTTCAAAGGACCAAAAGTTGGCCAAGATGTAATTTTGTATGTTGATTAAATCATTGCTAAGATAGGCAATGCACACCTTTAATCCCATACTTGGGAGGCAGAGGCAGGTGGATCTCTGTGAGTTTGAGGCTGGCCTGGTCTACAGAGTGAGTTCCAGGACATCCAGAGCTACAGAGTGAGACCCTGTCTCAAAAAAACAAAAATAAAATAAAATAAATCATTGTTAATTTTATTCCAACTGCTGTGTGAGCAAGAAAACGTTCTTTAGTATGAGGATTATGTGCCTCTCCTCTATATTTTATAAAGCTCTGTCCGCTGTTTTGTAACCAAAAGCCTATATATTTTTTACATTTTTGTTCTTAATAAGAAAGGCCTTTTATTTGGCTTACATCATTCCACTGATGCTGCTTCCTACAGAAAAATAAGTGACAGACACTGGAGAGCAGAATTTTTAGTTTGCTCTAAGTTATTTACTTTTAAATTGGCTTGTAAAATTCCTTTTGCAACTGTGAGATTTTTCTGACCTTTTGGATTTTTTTCTTCTTTTAAGTTGTCTGCAGTCTCACTTAGAAAACTACCCATTTGTTGGCTTGCCCATCTCTCCTCCTGAAAAGAGTGCTCCTAACCTCCCTGTTTTCTTCAGTGACCTCTTCCTCCCTCCCTCCCTCCCTCCCTCCATCAAACTCCCAGTCCTGCTTCCTAACTGCTTGGTCTTATGTTCACTTTGATCTATTCATCTCCCATCTGTGCTTACAAGTTTTTATCTGCAAAATGCAAATAGAAGGAAACACACTTCCTCCCCTGCTATATTCACATCATTAAGAGCAAAGAACGCCGGGCGGTGGTGGCACACGCCTCTAATCCCAGCACTTGGGAGGCAGAGCCAGGTGGATCTCTGTGAGTTCCAGGCCAGCCTGGGCTACCAAGTGAGTTCCAGGAAAGGCGCAAAGCTACACAGAGAAACCCTGTCTCGAAAAACCAAAAAAAAAAAAAAAAAAAAAAAAAGAGCAAAGAACATGTGAGAGAGAGCTGCATTCAATTGTAAAATACAGTCTTAAAGATGTCTTAACAAGTTCATTCCTCTTGGATCATAGAGTGGAAAGAGTAGGGGCTAGAGAGATGGCACTGGGTAAAGTGCTTACATGGACCTGAGTTTGGATCCTCAGCCTCTATACAAAACCAGGCATCATGACCCAAGCCTGTAATCCCAACCCAGGGGGACAGAGATAGGTGGACTGGATAGCCAGTTTGGATAAAACAGCAAGATCCAGGCTCAGTAAGAAACCCAGTCTCGCCGGGCGGTGGTGGCACACGCCTTTAATCCCAGCACTCGGGAGGCAGAGCCAGGCGGATCTCTGTGAGTTCGAGGCCAGCCTGGGCTACCAAGTGAGTTCCAGGAAAGGCGCAAAGCTACACAGAGAAACCCTGTCTCGAAAAAACCAAAAAAAAAAAAAAAAAAAAAAAAAAGAAACCCAGTCTCAAAAAATAAGATGGGACAGGCGGTGGTGGCGCATGCCTTTAATCCTAGCACTCAAGAGGCAGAAGCAAGGGGATCTCAGTGAGTTTGAGGCCAGCCTGATCTACAAAGTGAGTTCCAGGACAGCCAGGACTGTTATGCAGAGAAACCCTGCCTTGGAAAAAACAAAACAAGTAAGATGGACAAATGATTGAGGAAGAACGTCCAGATGTCAACCTCTGGCCTATACATGGGCTAGTGTACCATGCATACAAGGATACAGGGTATGTATGTTAGTTTGAGTTACTATCCCTTCAAAGATCATATGGAGTCCTGGGTGAAGAGAATGGTTGTTCTCTGCTGTCTCCTCCCAGCTTCAGCCCTGACTCCAGAATGCAATCGCTTCCAAGTAGGGGGGGAAAGTAATGGACTGGGTTCGAAGGCACCAGAATAGGAAAGAGGAAGTGTCAGGGACGAGGCTGTTCATCTGGGACAGAGGCAGGATAAAGACTGTGGTTGGGATGGCAGAGCATCTTGAGCGGAAACTCATGGCTAGAGGGGGCAGGTCAAGAAGGCGGGCTGTCTCTGTGCTTAGTTCCTTGACTTTTCCTATAAGATGCAGGGATTCTGTGGCTAACTGGATGTTCCTGGTTAGCTGAGTGAAGAGGAGTAGGACCTGGGAGTCAGACCTAACTAGAAATTGTAAGGAAAAAAATGCCGTGAGGATGATGTCAGCATTATTCAGAATCATCATCATCATCAACACACACACACACACACACACACACACACACACACACACACACACACCTTGGATTTTAGAAACTAAGTCTCTGGGGCTTCATTCCAGATCAGTATCTGTGACCCTCTGCTGACCTACACACATGAGAATTAAGGCTTGGAGAGCACTCCTCTGACGTGGTGAAATTCTTCAAATAGGAAGGTTTGCCTGTTTAGACAGGTTGACAGAGCCCAGGAAAATTTGTGCCAAAAGTTTTAAATGAACAAAGATATAGAATAAAATCTGTATCCTAATGCTTTTAGTGGAAAAAAACATTTTCAAGGCCAGTGAGATGGCTCTGAAGGTAAGAACACTTGTGGACAAGCCTGGTGACCCAAATTCAATCTCTGGAACTCACAATCCCTAGAACCCAAATGATCAAAGGAGAGAACTGACTCCCACAACTTGTCCTCTGACCTCCACCACACATTGGCCATGGCGCGCACACACACACACACACACACACACACACACACACACACACACACACACACATTAAATAAATGTAATTTTTCAAGGAAACAGAGTATGCACATTAATATGTTTTTATATATTTACATGATATTGAAAGTTCTGGTTTATTCAAAAGGAGCAGCCTAAAAAAAAAGGAGAGATAGCAACATGAATGTGTGTGATTTGTATCCGTGCTCTTCAGATAAGCCAGGAAGGAAAGAAATATCTGTGTCCCTTCCTTCTCCCCCACCCTTCTGAACTCCGGCCTGGCATCTGGTAGTGACTTCATTCCGTTTCTATGTTGACCTCCTGAAGTCAGAAAACCGAGAAAATAGGAAAAAAATAAAGCAGGAAATGAATAAAGAAACTAAGAAAGTAAAACATGGGGGTCCTTGTTCCAGAAGCTTTGGCAACTGAACAGTTAGAGGATCAGAAGTTCAAGGTTATCTCAACTGCATAGCCAGTTGGAGGGAGGCCAGTCTAGACTACATGAGACCTTATCACAAAACAAAACAGCAAATCATGTAAGATCAACAAAGGCATCAAAAAGTATTAGTAGCACATGGAGTAGGTCTGATGAACAAAGACTATTGCTCAGGCCCAAGTTTTCCACTTATCTTACCAGATGCATATCTTCAGGAAATTTATTCAACTTTTCTGAGCCCCCTTTTGATGTTGAGAAACAGATATACGGTGAAGATTAAACAAATATGCAAAGTCTTTAATACAGTGGTGTATAGAAGGGACTAAGTAAATTTTGGCTCTTATGATTTTGAAGACAAATATAATTACTCCCATTTTAAAGATGAGTGGTTTGAGGTTTAGAAAGATCAAGATTTATTCAAGTCTGTAACTTCCAGGCCGGGGCTTCTTCTACTGTGTGAGAGCTACAAGGACCGCTGGTCAGGGGCTGTGAGTCCAGAGTGCTTTACCTGCCAAAGATCCAGGCCAAGGACGCTGATGTTATAATAGTGACAAATGGTGGGGTCAGGCCTGTATTTGGGGTTGTCTATCTCTGGGTGAATCCACTCCCCCTGATAATTGGGATTGTCAATGATCCGAGGTTTCCATTGTCCCTAAACAGAGAACCAAGAGTGGACACGTCAGTAATAATTTCCCAGTCTTCTAACATCATGCAATTAAAAAGCATCAATCAATTTATAAGCAGTTGTGTAGCAGACTCCTAGAACTTTCCCTTTCTTCGAGTAAAGGCATAAGATTCTTCCCAGTTCCCTTTTCCTCCTACTGGGAGTGAAATGACACGGCAGGAGCCTCTTCTGGCCTGGCCCTCTCTCTGAAAAGGCACATTCATGAGGTTAAGAAAACACAATTCTTGGAGAACATTGTCTAAGTAGCTTAGCACTCGGGGCTGTCCTTGTTCCTCTGTGTGGCACAGGAAACCGTGGCCAGATAAAATGCCTGCTCCAGTCAATTTTATTCCTGGGCCATTTGTCAGCTGACTCCTTCAGTCCTTGCTTCTGACATGACCTCAGGAGTTGACCTTTAAAAATCCTCTATCCCCCAAATACTTTGGACTCATGGGGATCCCACTCTTTGCCCTTCTGGCCTGCTTCTAAGACACTGGATTCCTGAGCCCGAGACCACTTCCTGTTTATATCTTGTTCCTTGAACTGGCAGCTTTTCCCCACTCTGGACAAGCTCCTTGCCCAAGCCTGCCCGAACCATTTCCTTAGCGCTGGCTTTACCAGCCTCCCTCCCCCTTGCAAACAGGAGGAGGCTGAGAACAGGCCTCTGATGTGGCCACTGTCCTATTTGGAGTGAAGATCTCAGAATTTCTGCTTTGTTTTTACTTTGTTTTGAGACAAGATCTTGCTATATAGCCCAGCCTGGCCTTGAACTTGCAATCCTGCCTCAACCTTCTGAGGGCTAGGATTATAGGCCTGCAGGTTAGAGATTTTATTTTCTAATTAGAATTGACATCTCTCCCATCTGATTTCCCTGTATAAATTTTCATTGAAAAGAGAGGCCCCTCACCTTGTACTTGACATTCGGTATCAGGGGCCCTTCCCACACTCCATCCATCGCCTCGTTCCAGTCATCCGGCTTCTTGGCCTCTGGGTCTGGGATGAACTCAGAGTCCTCCCAATCCTAAAACAGAATGTTCCTTCATGAAGATGGTGACATGATCTGGGAGGAAACTGGGGACTCAAGTGCAGACAGGGGGAAGGGGTTCCCTACCCACCCTGCTCTGCTGTGTGATGGCCCAGTGCAGGAGAGAAAAGGCCTTTATGGACCCCAAGGGTCACCATCATCTGACCTTGGATGCTTTAACCCCACCTCAGATGGGTATTATCCTTGTCGCTCACCTCACCCTGCCCTCGGTTGCGGGAGCTGCTGCTATGGTTTGTATGTGGTTTGCTCCCACACAGTCTGCCCCTTGAGTCTCACCACCCCGAGCACCCTGCTAGACCTGGCTTGAACTCACACCCTCATTTTCTCATGGCGCCAACCTCCCAGACACTTGACTTCATCGTCTGCCCTAATGTCCTGACTATACCTTCTTCTCCCTGAGATCAGCTTCCCAGCTAAACTCCCTCTGACCTCAGGTTTCTTATCTTCAGGATCCTCTATCTGCAGCCGTTCATCCCATTTCCTTGGTTTCCTGGCATAGGGGTCTTTTATTTTCCTGGGAGGCAAGAAGTCCCAGTCATCTTCCAGGCCCCCAGTTGTCACCTTCTCGTTGTCAATTTTGACCTCGTAAGTCGCATTAGGGCGAAGGATCAGAGTGTACAGGTGAGTGTCTTTGTTGATCTGTAAAGGGAATGGGTGATATTTCAGTTCCATACAGGACATTGTCGATCTCAGGCACTGTGTTGCCTGAATGTCCTCTCCCACATATTTACACACACTTTACCACATTCCTTTCCCCTTCCTCTAGTTAATACACCTACAGGGATTCTGGGCTCACCCCGCTGGTGCACGCTCCTGTGGTCTCACTTCTGTGGTCCTCCATCTTCTAGCCCCCACTCTTCTGAAGCTTGATCATTCTGCCTGTCCTGTTAAACCGTGAGCTTCTCAACAGCAGGGGTCATATATGATTTCTCTATCATGTCTAAGCTTCCAAGCTGAGACTTGCCCCAGAGGAGGACTCAGAACATCCAGCCCCATGTTACAAGGCTGGTCAGGAAGGCCTAGCTTCAACACAAGATTCCTAATGCCCCCGGCCTCATGGACTTTTCTAGATTCTGTTCCTGCCGTTCTCTGTACAACAGCCGTATCAGCCCTCAGGTTGTGCCTCGGTTTCTTGAGTTTCCTTGGCTTTGCTCATGCAGTCTCCTCTTCCAGAAGTTCATCTTTCCATAAAATTGTCACATTCGTTTACTAGAGCATGCTCGTCTTTCAGCACGAGGAAGGCTTCTCCAGGAAGCAATCCTTACCTAAGCCTCCAGGTGGAGGAGGAGCCCTCTTCTCTGCTCCTGTATTACTTTCCTTTGCTTAACTCTTATCTTTACTCAATTGTGAAAGTTTTATTTGTTTTGTTTTGGTAAGATCTTGCTGAATTGCCCAGGTTGGCATTGAACTCACAACCCTTTCACCCCAGCCTACAGAGTGGCTAGGATTATAGGCATAAATCACAGTATCAGGCTTTACTGTGAATTTGGTTAATTCAAAAGACCTATCTGGCTAAATCTATCCCATGCTCAAAGCCCAAGGCAGAATTAACATCTGGTTAATAATGCCTGTTAGGACTGTTGATTGACCATACCTACTGTCCTCTAGCTAATCTAGAGGCTTCTAACTTTGGTACTGAGATAAACTGACCCACCCATCTCATGTAAGCACAGCACTCCTGACCCCCACCCTAGTATCTACAGTGGGGAATGATGCCACACCAGCCTTCACACCACATTACTTCCCAGGTTTTTCGGTCAGCTGTTACGGTGTGAGCTCCTACAGTGTGTATATAGAGCACATCTCTAGGTCTACTTAATCTGTAAAATGGAGATGATAAGGTTTAATTAATAGAGTTCGTATAAGAAAAAAATGAGATAACATATATAAAAATCCCCTCCCCCCGGGGCTGGAGAGACGGCTCAGCAGTTTTGAACACTGGCTGCTCTTCCAGAGGACCTGGGTTCAACTCTCAGCACACACATGCAGCTCATAACAACCTATAACTCTGGTCACAGGGAATCTGACTTCCTACTCTGGTTTCTGTGGGCATTAGACATGTATGTGATGCATATATATATATATATATATATATGCAAAATAATCATACATATAAAGATAAATAAAATTTTTAAAATTTAAAGGATAAAATCCTTTGCCTAGGCTGAAGATTAATCCACATACTCACCCTGCACTTGAGGGTCTTGTTGTTCTCATGGTATTTCCCTTGGTGATAAAGGATGACCTGTAGTCTGTTATTGCCAAAGCCACAGATGTCCGGGCCTGGAAATTAAACCCCAAAGTGTGATTTCACATCTATTTTAGGCAGCATGCCCAGTCTGAGGCCAAGACCCAAGACAGATACAGCCTGTGTATCACTCAGTATTTCCAGAAAGAAACAGATGCCACACTCAAAGTCAGGATTATTTCAGACGGATTTAATGAAAGGGATTATTTACAAAGGGGGAGGCGAGATGTTGAGAGAAGGAAAGGTACAGTGCTGCCCTGGGCTAGAAACAGCAAAGGGGAGAGAGTACCAGGCCCTCAAGAGAGGCTGAAGGCAGGCACAGCAGGAGAGAAGCAGACTTTCAGTTGAGAGATACAACTCAAAAATTCCTCTAATCTCCTGCCCGGGCTCCACTGGCCAAACCCACTGGAAACCCCTCATAAGCCAGGAGTTTCTAACATGTCACTTAATTCTGACAAATAAGCATTACCATCTCCACTTTAGATAGGGTTGGCTCAGAAAAGCCAAGCAGCTTGCCCACAGTCAAGAGCTGGTAAGATGCCTTGCTAGAATTCAAAGCCATTCCTACCTAGTAACAGAGCCTGAGAGCTTGTCTGCTTTGTGCTAATTCTAGTGAGAAGTGTGAATTAGAGCTGGGGAGCCCAGAGAGCCCTGAGACTCTCATGCTACTGCTCTCTACTGATACCTCACAAAGGACTTCTCAGCCTGTCAGCTACTACCAAGTGTGAAACACCCTCTCACACACAACATGTATACATACAACACAACACACACACACACACACACACAACACGCACTCACGCTCATACACACAAGGCATTTACACTATACTCTACCCACACTTCTCTTCTCCCTACTTATTTACCATGCACTTGAATTTCATGCCTGAGCTTTAATACATGTTGTGGATTCTGCCCCTATTACATGCTGTCCTCCTCCTCCTATTAAAATCAAACTCACTCTTTAAAGAACAATTAACACCTCCTCCAAAAGGCCCCCAGTTGTACTGAATCATGCTGTCTCTTAGGATCTCACAGAGCCTCATCAACACCTCTTTTCCCCAAAAACTTTTTAAAGACGATATGTAGCCTTGGCTGTCTCACCAGCCAAATGAAAGATGAAGTCCCTGGGACCCCATCAGGCACCACATAGTCAACACGGGCATGCAAGGGGTCACGTTCGGTGCGAGGCTCTGAGGTATACCTCCAGACCTCCAGGAGCTTACAGCCTAGGGAGAGAGAGTCCATGGAAGCTTGGGGAGAAGGTGGGTGCAAGCAGTCGAGGAGTGGGGTGGGCTGCCTGGCCTGGGACATGAGATGGGAACAGAGGCGATGAATGCAGGTGAGGAACTGTGGGGGGGCTGCGTGTCCAGGTGATATGTAGACAAGGCTGGCCTCGCATTCCTAGCAATCGTCCTGCTTCTGCCTCTGTGTACTGACATGTAGCATCACACTTGGTTCAGAAGCCTTTTTAAATTAAAAAAAATTTTTTTTCCCCCCCGAGACAAGGTTTCTCTATATAACAGTCCTGGCTGTCCTGGAACTCGCTCTGTAGACCAAGCTGGCCTCAAACTTACAGAGATCCCCCTGCCTCTGCCTCCCAAGTGCTGGGAAGAAAGGTGTGCACCACCACCACTTGTCTAAATTAAATTTTTTTTGTGCTATAAGTAATAATTTTATTTATTTATTTATTTATTTTTGCTTTTTTTTTTTTTTTTTTTTTTTAATTTTGCAATACAATTCAGTTCTACATATCAGCCACGGATTCCCTTGTTCTCCCCCCTCACCTTCCCCCCAGCCCACCCCCCATTCCCACCTCCTCCAGGGCAAAGCCTCCCCCACGGACTGAGATCAACCTGGTAGACTCAGTCCAGGCAGGTCCAGTCCCCTCCTCCCAGGCTGAGCCAAGCGATCCTGCATAGGCCCCAGGTTTCAAACAGCCAACTCATGCAATGAGCACAGGACCCGGTCCCACTGCCTGGATGCCTCCCAAACAGATCAAGCCAATCAACTGTCTCACTCATTCAGAGGGCCTGATCCAGTTGGCGACCCCTCAGCCATTGGTTCATAGTTCATGTGTTTCCATTCATTTGGCTATTTGTCCCTGTGCTTTATCCAACCTTGGTCTGTTTATCTTACGTATGTGTGATTTGCCTGCGTATATGTTTATGTACCACTTATGCCTGGTACCAATGGAGGTCAGACAAGGGAGCTGGATCCTCTGGAACTGGGGATGGTTGTGAGCTGCTATGTAAGTGCTGGGAATCAAACCCAGATCCTCTCAACAAGCAGCCAGTGCTCTGCTCTGTCCAGCCATCTCTCCAGCCTGGCTCAATACTTTTTTAAGAATATAGATTTCACTCTGCTTTTTAAAAAGTTATTCAGCTGCCTGAAGGGAGAAGATGCAGGCTTTATAGACAGACTGACTCAAATCCTGGTTTTCTACTACCTTGAGCAAATTTCTTACCTTTATTCCCTCATCTGCAAAATGGGAAGAGTAATACATGGTGCAGACTCTGAAGAAAACAGAAAGATGCTGAGCAGACACACTTTACATACTCTGAGTGTTACACTATGCGTAAGAGACAGACTGGAAGCAGGTAGGGGGACTTGCACCTATGATCTCAGCACTTGGGGGGCTGAAGCAGGAGGATCACTGTGGGTCTGAAGCCAATTTGGGCTACATGGTGAGTTTGGAACTATAGAGTGAGACCTTGTAAGGAGGGAGTGTGAGATTTTTTTCCCTACTTCTTAAGTTTTTTTTTTTTTTTTTAAGATTTATTTGTTTATTATGTATACAGTGTTCTGCCTACATGTGTCCCTGCAGGCCAGAAGAGGGCACCAGATCTCATTACAGATGTTGTGAGCCACCATGTGGTTGCTGGAAATTGAACTCAGGACCTCTGGAAGAGCAGTCAGTACTCTTAATCTCTGAGCCATCTCTCCAGCCCCGATGTGAGATTTAAGGGAAAAAAAAAGGATGTAGATTTTAATAGGGGCAATGCAGCTGAAAAGAATAATTTGAAAAAGAAAGAGTACTGCATGGGGAAAGGAGGAGGAGAGGTGAAAGGAGGGGAGAAGGGAGGGGAGAGGAGGAGAGGAGAAGAGAGGGGAGGGGAAGGGGGGAATGGGAGGGGAGGGGAGAGGAGGGAATGGGAAGGGGGGGAGGGGAGGGGGCAAGTATTAGCTGAGACTTCCAGAGGAAGGAAGTGTCTAAAGAGAATCAAGGGAATGTTAGTGCCTGTTGTCCAGCACAACCCTCTCACTGACTTTGTACAAAAACATCTGGTGGAGTCCACATTCTTCATCTGTGCTTCAGAAACTGGAATGCTTGATTTTTGCTGGTTTTTCAATATCAACAATGTTGAAAGTGGGTTCAAGGTTGGTTGGAGCTAAAAGCTGGATTGCCTCAAGAATGCCTAGTTACATACGTAGACTACAAATGCCACACTCTGGACATTCACAGATGCTTACAGAAAGTCGTTTCTCTGACTCTGGCTGTCTTTCTCTTCTCTGAGGCAGAGCACAGTGCCTTGCTGTAGGTCTGTGCTCCTCCTTTGCTGAGAACTGGGCTATATCTCCATGTACTATAGACTTGCCAATACCATGTACTTCCAGATCTCTTTGGTCTATTTATATTAACATTTGGGTTTAGAGATGCCTCTTTTTTCAGATCTCTGGAGAGTCCTACTGCACAAGGGATATGTAGCTATCAAATTACAAGCTGTCCGTTACAGGTCTGTCTGAGTCTTTTCAACTACCACAGTGGTTCTTATCCAAACCCCACGGGGCTGAGAGCAACGAAGTAATATGGGGAGCTTACCGAACATGATGTAATACTGGGACTCTGAGTGCATATCCTCCTGGTTCAGTGTGGCAGGAAAGAGTTTCACATACCCACCGCCGCAATCGATGCCTTGCTCATGCTTTACTGAAAACTGAACCACCAAGGTCTCATTCACATTGCTGAATGGCTTAAACCTGGTGGAAAGGGCATAGAACTTGGCATCCTCACTGGTCTGGAGACCTGGTAACAGAGAGACAGTGCAAAGGCTTCAGGCTGAAGTTCCCCGAAAATACCTAGAGAGACCTAGCCCTTGACTTAACCAAGCTCTAGTGTTTTCTCACACATTATGGTGTGTCAGGCACTGGGCAAGGAGCATTATAATATTATCTCATCTGAGCCTCTGAGCAGCCCTGAAAAATGGGCACTATGCCCGTTTAATAAGTTAGGAGGCTGAGTCACAGGGAGGAGACGTGAAGCCACATGGCATGGAAGTAACCTAACTGGAATTTTAAGCCACATTGATGCATTCCTTTGCATCATGCTATCACTTATTTTCTAGAGACATTTCAGCATCATTCCACGGCTTTATAAGTCAAGGCCCTACTGTGTACAAGTACTACAGTAGAAAGGAGCCCAGAATTAACTCAGATAAAATAATAATTGTTGCTATTTTCACTGAATATTTTAATCACTAAATAATTTATCTCTTTTGTAAAAAATTGTGTGTGTGTGTGTGTGTGTGTGTGTGTGTGTGTGTGTGTGTGTTTTTGCAGGCACACATGTGCATGCTTCTGAATACACAGAGGCCAGAGGAAGGTGCCAGGTGTTCTGTTCTATCACTCTCTGCCTTATTCCTTTGAGACAGGATCTCCCACTGAACCTGGAGCTAGCAGCCAGTAAATCCCAGAGATTCTTCTGTCTCTGCTCCAACACTAACACCAGGGGTACAGGAGTACACAGCTATCCCAGCTTTTTTACGGGTCCTAGGGGGCTTTATTTATTTATTCTATGTGTTTTGTCTGGATGTATGTCTGTGTACCACATGCATGTAGTGCCTGCAGATGACAGAAGAGGGCAGTGGATCCCATGGGACTGGAGTTCACAGATGGTTACAAGGTGCCATGCAGGTGCTGGAAACCTGGGTCCTCTGGAAGAACAGCGAGCCACTACTGAGTCCCATCTGCAGCCCTGGTTCTAGGGATTTGAACTCAGGTCTTCATTCTTGTTCAGCATGACACAATGTCATCTCCCCAGCCCTTTACCATTTAACTCTACAGATGGTTTCTTCGTTCACATGTGTTTGTGTACTTAGCCCTCCCAGTAACAACTGAAGGTGAGCTATACCAGTTTCCTCACTTTGTCATGAGGTCGTTGAACCTGTTTCACATGACAGTGGTCATCAATTAGTTGTAATTGCAGAGCCCCAACCTCCAGTGAATATCAGAGCTGCCAGGGCCCCCAGAGCTTTTCTAGGCTGACCATCTGAAGCAATCATATAGGAAGTTCCTTGCTAAGGATCACACAGTCACAAATGACAGACATGTGGAAATGCTCAATGAGTAAGTGTTCAATGAAGCTGGATGTGGTAGCATATACCTGTAATCCCAACCTTTGGGAGGTGGAGGCAGGGGGACAAGTAGTCCAAGCCCAACTTAAGCTATATAAGATCCGGTCTTAAAAATCAACAACAAGCTGGGCGGTGGTGGCACATGCCTTTAATCCCAGCACTCAGGAGGCAGAGGCAGGCAGATCTCTGTGAGTTTGAGGCCAGTCTGGTCTACACAGCTAGTTCCAGGACAGCCATGGGTACATAAAGAAACCCTGTCTCGAAAACAAACAAACAAAAAATCAACCACAACAAAAAATGCCAAATGACAGGAAGGAGCACAGGGTCTGATTCGGAAAAGGTCTTAAGCATTTCTTGTACACCAAGCTCTGTGGTGAACAATTTCATATCTGACATCATGCTGGGAGCTGTCTGCATGTTTGAAGAGTATTTCTACTTCTTTTAAGGCCTCCAAGGGGCTAGAAGAGCCAGGAAGGAAGGAACGGACAGATGGCAGAAGATCACACTTTGAGACTCTGCCCTGCTACACCCTGCTGTATAAACCAAACCAACCTCCCCTCTCAGTCTCACTGTGACTCTAGTGTCCTTCCAGATAACCAGAATCTAATGGACCACAGAGTATGGGATGCAGGAGGGTCAGCCGAGGAGCCAAACAGTGAAGAGATGTGTGGCTGAGCAGACTGCCTGTACTGGAGTACCAAGACCCGGGGGTCTCATGAGATGCTCAGTCTCCAGTTCTCTGTCCTCTGAAAACAGTTTTCCAGAGAGGATTTAAATGAGATTTTAAAATGCTCAAGTCAGTTCATAATTCTCTCCTTTAATAAATATGAAAATGAGATTCATAACAGTAGCCAGATGGAAGAAGATGGGAAATCACTCCAGGGGATGATCAATGAGCTCTATTTATAGAACAAAAGCTTTCTCAGACCAATAACCCATGCCCACAGTCCCTGTCCTCAGAGCTCACCCTTCCTCCACAACATTATTTGGCCCGTACGAAGACTCTGTCTAGAGAGCATGGCAGGTGAAGGTTATCCTCATCTCAAATCAACAGTCTGAGAAGCAAAAAGACATGCTCCAGTTAGACAGCTAGTCTGTCAGTCCCAGGTCCATCTGCTCTCCTCTCCACCACACAAAGCTGCTCTAGAAGGAGCGACATTCGGGTGCTTTGCTGTGCTTTCTTGGGTTTTTTACAAGTACAGAAGGCTACTTATAAAATCCTAGGAGTTTGGGGGAAACAGCACACATTAGTGGTAATGAACACAGTCCCTGGAGTCAGAGCTAGAGTCAGATCTCAGCTGTTCCTCTCAGCTGTGTGATATAGCCCTGAGCAACTATCAAAAAAAAAAAAAAAAAAAAAAAAAAAAAAAAAAAAAAAAAAAAAAGAAAGAAAGAAAAGAAAAGGTCTTTGAGGCTCCTCTGCAAAACTGGGAAGACAATAATAACTACTACATGAAAATGTTAGGTAGATGAATGGGAAGACAATAATAATGGCTTCATGAAATTGTTAGCAAGATGAATGGGATAATGCGTAAAGGGTTAGTTTAAAATGTTCATTACTCAGTTATAGGGCATAATACATTTTGTGGAGAGTCCATCCTTTTTTACTTACTATTGTTTTGTTTTGTTTTGTTTTGGGGTGTGTGTGTGTATGTGTGTGTGTGTGTGTGTGTGTGTGTGTGTGTGTGTGTGTGTGTGTGACAGGATCTTACTCTGTAATCCGGGATGTCCTAGAACCCATCGTTTAGCCCAAACTGGCTACAAACCCATGGCTATTCTCCTGCCTCAGCCTCCTGAGTACAGGGATTACAGGCATTCACTACCAAGTTCAGCTCCATTTACTCTTTTATTCTATTTTAGTTTTTAGGTAAGAGAAATGAGTTGGCAATCATGGATAAAAACAACTGGGTAAAAGTCCTGCTTTTCCCAGTCCATCAACACATTCCTGAATTCCAGTATTTACCTTTATCTCTTTCTTTATCTTGATAAAATTTCCCTGCAGTAAGCTGGAATTTACCATAATCTGACTGATGTTTAGATTGCACCCATCGTTTTGTCCATCCATCTATGGAATAAAGGAGAGAAAAAAAAAACACATTCACATGAATTCAGTTTTGGGTGCTAATTAAGCCCTATGGAAGAATAACAGTGTAACAGAGGGTGACTCAGAATATTCCTGAAATTATGCTCACCACACAGTACCCGGAACTCACTCTTCATGTCTTGACATGAAGAGCTGCTCAAACGCCAAGCAACTGAGCCAGTTTTCCATCAGCACCTTCCTTCATGACAGTTGTCTTGAAAATCGCCACGGGAAGGCATAGTTGGAGGGCATGAAACGTTTACCGAGCCCTTACACACATTTATGTTGGGTAAGGGAAGACAATAAAACCTGCTCTCTAAGGAAAGAGACCAGCAAAGACATTGTGTGTTTCTTGAGTTAGCAATGATGGTCATGAACAGTTTCTACTTACTCCTGTTCTGTTACTTAAACTTTTCAGACTCCCTCTTGCAGTTTTAAGATGCTGATAAATGTGTTTTGCTTTGGCGTAGATGGCATGCAGACAAAGAAGCATTCTTTTGAGGACCTGGCATTCCACCCAAACACTCAGTGTCTTTCTAATTTTTTTTTTTTTTTTGCTTCAGAGTTGCTGACTCCTACTTCCTGGGCCCAATCATAGTCCCAGAGTCCCAGAGCAATTTGGCAGCTTGAGATAGACAAGGCTTTGAGGGCGGCCCTTATTTCACCTCCTCCCTGCCTCGGAATGGAGTTTCCCAACACTCACTGCCCGATAGGTAAGGGCAATGCGGTTCATCTTCCTGTGAAAACCTCACATCAGCACACATCCAGCATGAACACCAGGAGCTGGTGGTGTCAGTTCCTCTTATTCAAGGCCCAAGTCTGATGACTCAATTGCTTCTCAGGAAACCCAGGGGTTTGGTCTCATGTCGTCCAGGCTGACTTTGAACTCCTGATCCTTATGTCTCTGCTTCCTAAATACTGGGATTACAAACTATAACACCACACTCAGCTTGCTTGCTTGTGCTCGTGCGTTCTCTCTCTCTCTCTCTCTCTCTCTCTCTCTCTCTCTCTCTCTCTCTCTCTCTCTCCCTCCCTCCCTCTGTCTCTCTCCGCTTTTTGAGACAGACTTTCTCACTGTGACTGGGTCTTGCTGATGAGGAGTCTCTGCCTCCCAGTGCTATACTAACAAGTACATGCCATCGTGACTGATTTTTGCCATAGGCACTGAGGATTAAACTCAAGCACTTTACTGACTGAGCAGTCTACTGTCCCCTGGCCCTTGGATGGCAGGGTTTCGATATGCAGCCCTGGCTGGCCTTAAAACTCATAATGAACCTCCTGTCTCAGATTCTTGAATTCTGGGATTACAGGAACACAACCAGTACTATACCATAGGATATGGTATTACAAGCACACACTACCAGAACTATCCAGTGGGAATCTATTTCAAAAATGAGAGAGAGAGAGAGAGAGAGAGAGAGAGAGAGAGAGAGAGAGAGAGAGAGAGAGAGAGACTTCCAAAATACATTGCTATGGTATAATGCCTATTTTGAATTAACAGCACTTTAAAAACAGCAGGAATCCGGCAGTTAAGAGCACCTGCTGTTCTTGCAGAGGACCTGGGTTCAATTCCCAACATCCACATGGCAGCTCACAACTATCTGTAACTCCAGGCCCAGGGGATCCAATGTCCTCTTCTGACCTCTAAGAATACTGCATGCATGTAGTACACAGACATACATGCAGGCAAAACACCCATTCACAGAAAATAAGAAACAAAAGAAAAAAAAAACAGGAGAGTAAGTGCAAGATCAGTCTGTCTCATTCTCTTTCTTGAAAGCAAGAATGCCATTTCCGTGTGGACAGTGTCTTCTCTAGACCAGAGGGAAGTTCTTATTATCAAGGACAGCAAACTGAAGCCGAGGGTGTTTGTACACCCAGACCTTGTTACAGTAATCTTTATCTTCTTGATTACCCCTATGCCAATTTGCTTTCCAACTCCAAGCTCACCTTGCCACAGTTTACAATTTACTATTACTTGTCCAGTTCAGTGCATGTGATGGGTGGTATAACTTCTTCATTGGTTGTTGGAGGTTTGTTTTATTTTTGAGTTTCCTGTAGCCCAGACTAGCCTCAAACTCGTATTACCTTGAACTTCCCATGCTCCTGCCTCAGACTGCTGAGTGCTGGACTCTCAGGCGTACACCATCCCACCTAGCTTTCCACTGGTTCTCCGTTTCTTTAGAAGGACTCCGGTGTTACTATACTTTTAAAAACGTACCTGCATTAACCTTTTGAAGACACTTACATACTTAATGCATGTGCTGGCTAGTTTTTGTCACCTTGACACAAACCAGAGTCGCCTGGGAAGAGGGAACCTCAACTGAAGAATCGCCTCCATCAGACTGGCCTGTGGGCATGTCTGAGTCAGGACATTTTCTTGATTAATAACAGGTGCAGGAAGACCCAGCCCACTCTGGGCACTGCCACCCTGAGCAGGTGATCTTGGGTTGTATATGAAAGCAAGCGGAGCAAGCCATGGAGCGTGAATCAGTAAGCATCTTCATGGTCTCTGCTTCTGGTGCCTGCCTTGGCTTCCTCCATGATTGACAATAACCTATAAGCCAAATAAACGCTTTCCTCCAGAAGCTGTTTTGGTCATAGTGGGTTTTTTTTTTTTTGTGGGGTGGGTGGGTGGTTTTGATACAGGGTTTTCTGTGTAGCCCTTGCTATCCTGTCGTCCAGGCTAGCCTCACACTCAAGATCTGCCAGCCTCCTGGAGTGCTGGGATTACAGGCATGCTCTACCACCGCCTGGCTGGTCAAGGTGTTTTATCATAGCAACAGAAAGGAGGCTATGACAAGGATTAAAAAAAAAACATATTTAATAAATATATATGCTTTCCCCTGTTAATCCATTTTATGTATGTTGATTGAATTCTCAGGTTGAGGAAAAAAATCATAAAAACACCTAAAAATTAAAAGGGAGCTGGCGGTGTTGCTCAGTGGCCGTGTATTTGTTTAGCACAACCCTGGCTTGATCCTCAATTCCACAAGGCGCCAAACCAACAACAAATAAGTGAAAAACCAGAAAGGGGAGAGATTAAAAGTCCTCCTCCCCAACACTTCCCAAAGTCTTCCTGTCTCTTTCAATGTCTCAGTGTTCAACAGGTCTCGGTGAACAATTTTATTACCCCATCTTAATAGAGAGAGGGGTCCCAGAAGTTTATTTCTGCAGGAAGTCGTGGTGGCTTGGGTGAAGTGGATCCTACTTCTCTGACCATAGTTAAGCCACTGAAGGATAAGGATTGATACAAAAGATGAAAGACAAATTTGAAAGTTAGTATATGTTAGGCCCTCATGTGGCTTTCTGAAATCTTCACTCCATATCTATAGCAGCTGCGGCTTCATTATTTCCATTTGCACCTAGGGTGCTGGATAGTTTTATGTCAGCTTGACACACCCAGGGTCATCTGAGAGGAGGGACCCTCAATTGTGAAAATGCCTCCATAAGATCAGCTGTAAGCAGACAAGCCTGTAGGGCATTTTCTTAATTAGTGATCTATGGAGGAGGGCCCAGCCCATTGTGGGTGGGGCCACCCCTGAGCTGGTGGTCTTGGGTTCTGAAAGAAAACAGGCTGAACAAGCCATGAGGAACAAGCCACTAAGCAGCTCTCCTCCAGGGCCTCTGCATCAGCTCCTGCCTCAGGTTCCTGCCCTGTTTAAGTTCCTGTCCTGACTTCCTTCAGTGATGAACAGTGGTGTGAAAGCATAAACCAAATAAACACTTTCTTCCCCAAGTTGGTTTGGTCCATGATGTTTTATCACAACACTAGTAACCCTAGCTGTCCTAGTTAGGGTTGCTGGTGTTGTGATAAAACATCGCGCCGGGTGGTGGTGGCTCACACCTTTAATCCCAGCACTTGGGAGGCAGAGGCAGGCGGATCTCTGTGAGTTCGAGACCAGCCTGGGCTACAAAGCGAGTTCCAGGAAAGGTGCAAAGCTACACAGAGAAATCCTGTCTCAAAAAAAAAAAAAAAAAAAAAAAAAAAGAGCTGATCCGAAAGCTGTCTGATTTCAAAGCTGTCTTTCCTCTGGAAGAGATAAAGAAAAGTGTTATGTAGAAAAAAATGCACTATAATAATAGCTACTAAAATAGATTTTTAAATGAATGGTATTTAAGAAATAAAAAATAGCTACTACTTAGCAGCCGATGTCAGGCATTGTGTTGAAAGCTGTGCTCATATCCTCTCCCTGTGTTCTCATAATAGCCCCATGGTAAATGTCCTATTTTTCCCATTAAAAATGAAGAAACTGAAACTCAGAATCTTGCTCAAGAGCTCAGTTTGTAAGAGAACAAGGCAGACTTGCATCCAGATCTGTGCAACACTGAGATCTGTACTTTTAACCCTTAGATTATATAACTCCCCTTGGAGCCACGTATGAGAAAAGCCCTTTATAACCTAAAAAGTGTGCAACAAGATAAGGCAATCATGGCACTTTATAATTTGTGTATAATTTGAATAATGTCTATTTTTCCCATGTTCTATAATTACTGTGTTGACCATTATGTGTGTCCCAGTATTTAATATGGAATAAACTGCCCCAACTCATTGCTGAATGAATGAAGAGATGCGTGGTCATGCCTTTTGTCTAAACTGTAAGATTCTCAACCTTCGAAATGGAGGAATGGTTATTATTCACTCACTTGACAAATGTTAACTGAGCCCAACAAATATGTAGAAAGAATTGTACATTGTTGGCCTTAACTCCATGGTAGAAGAGATTAAAACAGAATTCCAAGGTTCTCAACCTTAATTACTTTTCAGGGTGAAGAGTATTGATACAAATCACATCTGACACAATTTGAGTTGTATCAAAATAAGGAGCTTCTCTTGGGGGCTAGGAAGATGGTCAACGGTTAAGAGCACTTACTGCTCTTACAGACGACCCACGCTTGTTTCCCAACACCCACATGGTGATTCACAACCACTTATAACTCTAGTTCCAGAGGATCTGATGCCTCTTCTGACCTCTGAGGGC